ATAGATACTCATTGAAACTTGAACCAGTATTAACTGAAAAAATTTTATGTGCAAGCAACTATACATGTTACTCAGAAAAATGAGTGATTCTAAGGCGCTCACATTCTATGGAGGGAAATAAATCATTATACTGGAGGAAAAATACTGTGTATATAGGAGCTGAGGGAGTAACCTCAGAGCTGAATTTTTTTGGGGGGGGATGGAAGAACTGGGGTGCAGACCAGAGGTGTTGGGGTGAGAGGACTCAGAAGAGGTAGGGTAGGGAGCAGAACATCCAGATTTACTAAAATATATTATTAAGGGGAGCCATGGGTGAGACAGGAGAGGTCTGCCACACCATGTGGTTCTGCTCCCTGCCAGGAACCATACAGCCAGTGATAGCACTGGGATTTAACCCCGAAGACATCAGGGAGGAACTGAATTGAATCTTAAAGGAAGAGTGGTAACATTTGAGTAAGGCTATTTTCCATGGAAGTGCCAGCATCAATAAAAAATCTTGTTTTATATGTCTAAGATTTCACTAGCTTTTATTATACACATACAGGTATCATGATAATGAAATTAGTAGTAAATTCAGATAAAAAATGATCTAAGTAAATTAAAACTTTGTGCTAAATTTGTATATTTTATTTTAATTGTAGCAAAGAACAATTTATTTGTGTGAAGTTAAACTGTTGCATGCTTGTGGCCAATGAGTAGAATTATAATTCAGTTGAAAAGTGATCTAATATTCTAGTAGCAAAGCCATCAGAATGTAAGAGTTTAGCATTTTTTTATTTTCCCTCTATAGCTCCAATATTTCTCAGAAAATGACTAGGCACCAAGTAGAAATCTGACTTGCTTTTTACTTTTATCATTCATCATAGAGATAAAGATGAATTGAAAACAGAAATCTTAAAATGTAATAATGATAGTACTTTATATTTCAATTGCACATACCATATAAAACACTTTACTATTCATTATTTAAACTCAGCCAGTATGAAAGAGAAAGAGCAGTAGGATCAAATTATTAGTTTGCTCTGTAGAATAAATTACTACCAGTTCATGCTGCTCAACTGTCTACTACTGGAGCCGTTGTAAATAATTCAAGCTCATATTATGTGTTCCCTAAAGAGTGTTGCAAAATTGTCTTGCCCTTTTTTTCTCTTTGCTTGGTCTATTTCATTAAATTTCAACAATTCTAAATCAAAATAACATCTAATAGACAACATATGAAATGCTTTTGCTGGTAATTAATTCAAACATTTTATGGCATCTTCATTAGACAAATGCATTATATTTATTTATAGAGTCACATTACTCTGTCCAGTAATTAAAAGACATGAATGAAAATGTATTCTTTTTTTTTTAACAAGAGAAATAATTTCCAGTAAACATTTTCAATGATTTCAGCTAAATGTTTATAGCTCTTGAGTGCTATTTGTTATTTCTGCCATTTAGGCTTTCTAGATAATTCTTGCTCAGGAATATTTCTTTACTGTTGGTGCTTCTGGACCTCCCCACATACGCATACAGATTGCTCAAACAATAACTTTTCCTTTCATGAATAAGACCCCTAGCTTTATTTTTCTGAGTGCAACTCTGTAGCCATTTTTATGGCTTTACCAAGATGCTTCTGCTAATTAATGTTTTAATGGGAAAACATTTTGGCAAATGAAACTATTAAATTTGAAGCATAAATTATAAATTCAGCTCAGTTGCCCTAATGATAATGCTGATAGTGATAATTGTTAGTAATATTTACAGAGAGCTCCAAGGAAGCTGAGTGCTGCGCTAAATATTTTATTTAAATATATTATTAAATTCTCCCAATTGCTCTTGAAGTGTTACTATTAAGCCCATTTTACAGGTGAAATTATAACTGTTATGTCTCAAAATATTTAATAAGATTATAACATACTCTTAATAGTATATTGTAAATACTGGCTCTGGGGCTTTACATATAATAATAATGTATATATGATAGATATGAGTACATATACACACACCCACTCTGTATATATGGGTGGTTATTAATATATATGATGCATATATTACATGTGTGTATACACACACACACACACACACACAAGATCTTCCTTTGCTAATTCAACAAATATTTATTCATTGACTTCCTGCCAGGCTCCTGTGCTAACCCCACGGAGTACAGTGCTGAAGCTATATGACTTTCTTGCCTTCAAAGGACTTACATTGTATTAGAGAGATTAACTTGCTTAAAGAAAAGTACAGAAACATATGATAATTACTTTACAGCTTCCGCTTTGTGGTAGGCATTCTGAAGGTCTTCACACAAAAGCAGCCCTAATTCTCAGACTTGAAGGATGAGTTTGAGTTAAACAAGATGATGTGCAGAAGGATTGGAACCAACCAGGGAATGGAGATAAGTGAAGATAAGTGAAGCAAGGTTGGTTGGGGGGGGGGGGTTCCCAGGGATTTAGAAGCGCCAAGGTCAAGTGCAGCTAGAGAAGAAACAGCTGAGGGGTCAGAGCCTAGCATGCCATTCAGGAAGGCACACCTGGACTCTGTGTGTTGAAAAGGCAGCAGCAAATCAACCAACATCAATTAAATTCTGATTAGGAATGTCCTTTCTCCCTTCCTTCTTTCCTCTCTCTGCTCCTCCTCCCTCCCTTCCCTCCCTCTTTCCTCCATCCTCCCTGGCTCTTCCCTCTTTCTCCCTCTTCTTCCCTCTCCCCTCCTCCCTCACCCTCCTCCTTCCTCCTCTCTCTTCTTCCTTCCTTCCTTCTCCCTTTCATCCTCCTCCCTCTCCCCTTTTCCCTCTCTCCTCCCTCCCTCCTCTCTTTCCCTTCTCTTCCCTCTCTTCTTCCTTGCCCCCCGCTTCCCTCCCTCCCACTATGCCTTCTTCCTTTGTCATCCATTCAGTAGCTCTTCATTATATGTCCACAACACACCCTGTTGAATACTGAAGATAAAATGGTGGGTCTCTACAGCTTCCTAATTTGGGAGGCAAACAGGCACTGATTAATTAATCTAACAACAACAACAAAAAAAAAAAAGTAAAATTACAAAGATGACCCATCTAAGGAGAATGGTTCTGTAAAGCTTCTCAAAGGAGGTGGTGACCTGGACAGAGCATCAGAAAAGCCTGCCCTGAGGAGAGGAGGCCTGACCTGGCAGAGGAAGAAAGAGTACAGGTGATTTGACGCAGGAAGTGGGTAATTTGGGGAGAAGTCTTCACAAAGTACAGATCAAGAGCCAAGACCCCAAGGAACTTGCAAGGAATTGGAGTAAGCCAGAAAAGCTGCTGTGCAAGCTGGAAAAAGAAGACAGGCCAGCCCCACTGGGCCTCAGAGGCCGTGTTCAGAATCTGAACCCAGTGGAACATCAGCGGCCGCTTCAAGCAGGAGCTGGGGGTGGATGGCGCAGTGGCAGGACTGAAGCAGGGACCAAGCTGGGAGGCTGGCATGATAGTCTGGTGCGTCGGCCTGCAGGTGGCGGAGTCACTGATTGGTGCTGGCATATGGCACCGAATCCTTTTTCCTTTGGGGGAAGAAAGATGCCAGGTGGACATTGGTGCCATTGCTGAGCTAAGGAAATGGAGGAGAGCAGAATCCATTCGACCTGAATTTCCAGTAAATGTTAAGGGGGTGGGGTGAGGGGGAACAGGAGAAAGAATGGAAGAGCTGAGGTCGCAGGCTGGCCTTGAAGAGCGAGCAGGTGTCTTCCAGCTGGCAAGCAGAGGCGAGGCTGGCTCATCAAAGCGAGTGGCAGGTTCAAAGGCGCAGAGGCTTAATGCAGATAAACACTTAGGTGTGTACACATGTACAGCAGGCAGATTACAGACGTGATGCATAAATAACTTGTTGGTGTTTGATATACTTGTATCTGTTTTGTGTTGCAATGGTTCTAACAGCTAACATTCCAGTATGTAACATTTGTAGACAGGCAAAATCTTTTAAATATTATTTAAACCATAGATGTATTATACTCTATAGAAATTCACACTTTATTTTCATCTCTTAATTTAGGGATTCCCATATGGCTTTTGATTTTATTATCTGCCTTCTTTCTAATAAAATTTTACCGTTTAGGTAATTCCTTTGTGTTTTAGATTTTTCCTTAGTGTTTTGGTATCTGGATATGGGACTGGTTGGCATTTTAAATTTAAGAAGTAATAAAAGAACTATAAATTTACTCTTGATTGAAATATAAAGATGATGATTTCAGTTGAGTTTGGCAATAAAAATCAAAGGATAATCAAATGAGAAAAGAGTGAGGATTGCCAAAAGATGGGTGATTTAACATCCCTCGGGGTAAAGCAGATAAAGTTGATTGGCTATTTAACTTTATAATGATAGGTACAGGCGTATCAATAGCAAGATCAGTCTTGAAGAGGTGGTTTGTAAACCGGGCCTTTGTGAATATGGCCTCATCATCTTGTCAGTCCACACAGAGATAATAAGGATCCTCACATTGTGTGATAGAGCGGATGATGTGTGTAAAGCATTTAGCACAGTGCTGGGAACGTAGTAAGTGTTCACTAAGTCGTGGTGAGGACTTGGATCCCTGAGGCATGCTTTACCTGGGTTATCCACAGAGCCCGAGCAGCGAAGGCCAGACTGTTAGGACAAATGCATGCATTTGTTCTGTACAACTTTTTGGCCAGAGGAATCTGAGAGAGTTGCAGATTTGGTAATGTTCCTGACATTTTCTGGAGAAGAACTAAATACTTTTTATTTCTATGACATTTCTGGAATCGTTGGGCAGGAAAGAGAAGGAACAGGATCATTTGGACTGAGACATCCCTTAGGACAGCAGAGAGAATGGGCAGACACCCTGAGCCAGAACTCTCTGTTCTGTGTCTTCTGGTTGATTTTTTGGCATTCTGACTTCAGAGCCGTGCGTGTGTGTGCATGTGTGTGTGTTTGTGTGAGAGAGATTATGCAAATACGTTTCTCTTTTCTGTGACTTCATCTAATGTGAATGAAAGCCTCTGAAAGCTACCTAACTCAGGGGGATTATTGTTCTTGTAATTACAGGTCTAGCATTGAGTTTCTCTACTGCCACCCTTCCTACTCAAGCAAAATCTGGGTGAAAAGATCTGCTGGGAAAGAGCTCACTGCTTATGTTTCTCCATTGTGATGAAAGCACTTGGTACAGGTAAATATCTCCCAAATCTTTGCTTTTGAAATTAATTACTTAGTTATTTGAGTTGAGATACCATTGCCTTGCATTGTTGTTGGTATCTTGGAAGTATAGAATCCCTCTCCTAGGTCTCATCACTGCCACAAAATCACCCTTGGTTAAGCACCATTTCCACTGTGTTCGCTTCTCCCTTTGTTCTACTCTCCTTAAACCCCTCCCACCTCTAGATACTCCAATTTTGTAGTCAACTTTCAGCATTCATTCTTAAGCATGTCTTTATCTGACCCTAAGTTTAGTATGTCTGTATCCCACATATATGTGAAACCATCTGATATTTTCCTTCTAACTTATTTCAGTGGGCTTAATCCCTTCCAACTCCATTCATGTTAAACAGATGGCATGAGTTTATCTTTTTTGGTGACTGAGTAATATTCCACTGGATATATATACCACATCTTCTTGATTCATTCATTTGTTCTGGGGCACTTAGTTTGTTCTAAAATCTTTAACCAAAAGTATCTTTTCTTATACACATGTAACATAAGTATACATCCATACATTCACCAGTTTTTGATCTGTTTATTCTTTCTCTTTTATAAAAAATCAAAACTTTGCTTTTTCTTATGGTGAAAATCTTTGGATACCATGATTAGGATGGATGACAAGACACTGATAAGAAAGGGCTAATTTTGATTTATGCTAGTCATAAATTCAGCTCAAGGCACTACATTCAGAGGGCATAGGGACAATACTCTAGCTACTGTCATCCAGCCTTTTTGTTCCTCTTAACAGGTAATGAACATCTTTTCATAGTAACACTATGTTCCTGCAACATGGCTTTTAATCATTATACAGTATTCCAGTGAATGCATATTCTAACATATTCCTAACATAAAATATTTGAAACAACCTAAATGTCCAACTAGAGGGGATCAATTTGCTTTTATGTTCCAAGAATGTTTTACAGGTCTATATTAATCATTGTTAATGGCATCTGTAAGGCAATTTCTTAGCAATAGTAAACTGCTAAATTTAAGGACACTAGAATCTTGATGCTTGTTGGCAAGTTATTGTTCAGTAAAGTCATGTTGTTTATATTTCTAGTGTTTACATTTTCAGTGTATGAAAGTACCTTGTAATCTTGCCAGCACTGAGTATTTTAAAAACAAAGAGAGACTCTGCTAGTTGATTATGAGTAATGACATCTCCAATTTTGGGGAGGGAGGGAACATTTATTAATAATCATATCCCAAAGGGCTTTCCTTCAATAGATAGTAATACCCTTGCAACTTACCAACTTTTGACATTTGAGAAATACCTAAACAAGAAAACATGGAAAGATCCCAGAAAATTTTAAGTACTTCCCTTTCTTGTCCACCTATTTTTCAACAATTACGAAATCACGATACTGTAATAGTTCCTAACAGAAAACATAGCTTTTAAAATCTCTTAACGAGAATGAAAATATAGCTAATAAATGGCCATCATTAAATATGGATCTTAAGTTATATTGACCAAGAGCATACACACACACACACATATACATACACATATATACACAGGATAGGGAACAGGATAGGTAGGGTAATTATGGTAGCACCCTCTAATTCAGAGGCTGAAGATCAAGGCAGGGAGGCCAGCAGTCTGTAGATTGTCTGTGCTCAAATTCCAACTCTGCTATTTTCTTTCTTTTTTTCTACTGAGGTATCATTTGTCTGTAACTTTATATAGACTTTAGCATAGGGTTCCACCTCAGCAACTGTACATATCATACCATGCACATCACCAGGTGCACAGTCATCATCCACCACTAACCTATGGCCTTCTTCCTCCATCCCTTTGTTAACCACCATTATTTGTTCAATTGCTTTTCTCTCCACAAGTGAGAGAAGTTATGCGAGAGAAGTTTTCTTTTCCTTCTGTCTTAATGTAATTAGTATCATCCCTTTAAGTCTATTCAAGTTTTCACAAATGGCAAGCTGTCATTTTTTTGGCCTGAGTAGTATTTCATTGTGTATGTACCCCACATCTTCTTAATCTATTCCTCTGTCTTTGGGCACCTGAGTAGTATCTCTTTGAATTTAGTATATTGATATTCCTTGGGTAAATAACCAGAGGTGGGATTACTGGATCACATGGCAGTCTTTTTTTTTTTTTTTTTTTTAAGATTTATTTATTTATTTGTGGATACAGAACTGGGGTATAGGCCAGGGGTGCAGGGGTGGTGAGAGGAATCACCAGAGACAGAAGGGGACCAGAACAGGCAGATTGACGAAGTACACTGCTGGGGGGGAGCAGCGAGAAGGTCAGCAGAGGTCTGCCACACCATGTGGATCACCTCCAGGTCAGGATCAGGATCAACCTCATGAGGAAGTGGCTTTCAATTCTTAGTGCTGCACCACCAGGGAGGGCCCTATTTTTAACTTTTTAAGGAAGCTTCTTACTATTCTCCATAATGGTTGCACCAGTTTTTATTTCCACTGACAATGTATATTCTCTGATATTTTCCTGAGGAATAACATTGGGCAATGTTATTAATCTTTGATGTCTATATTTGTAAAATTTAGATAGTAATAGTTCCTATCTCCTAGGGTATAGTTGCAAGTAAATATATGTGAAGTGTTTAAAATCTTTAAACATCCTATTTTAAGAGACTATTTAATGATAGGAGAAAATGGCCATGGTAGAAATTAAAGAAAAACAAAGTATAACATAGGTCAGTGTGTCTTCACCTAGGGCTGGGAAACCAGAATATGTGTGTTTGTGTGTGTGTGTGTAGAGAAACTGAAAAAGTGTTTTTAAATTCTAATTTCATTTGTCAAACATTGATTCACTTGGAAATTCCTCTGGGGGTGGGGGGGGGGGCGCACTGCTATGCTGCAGGGCAGGTCTGACTTCCATCCCACAGAGCTGTGAGTCTCTATGTCCCCTGGCCAATGTGAGAATAGAGCCTCATCCTATCCAGCTGCCTTGCTTCTGCAGGAAGTGAGTGCCTTGGGCCAGGAGAGCTTCCTGGCCATGTGGAGCTGCACAGAGAGAATGTGCCCAGCCTCCTATACATCACCCTAGCAGGCCCATGTTACTGAACAAGCTTCCTTTCACTAACTCCCATTCTTAAGAAATGTGCACATTATCCTATGGAACTCACAGAGTGCTGTGGGGCTACAAGTTCCGTTGGGCTCCAGCACTGAAGAATAGATGGAAAATGATGCCATTTGGCATCGGAACCACACGTGACTTATCTGGCTTTGGCTCTTGCCTTTCTCTGGCTATCCTGTGGTAGATGCTGCTTTCATGGGGGCCCAAATTGCCAATGTAATTTGAACAGCTCTGTATTTTTCAGTAAAAGAGGAACATCTGAATTCCTAATTAAGACAGTTTAGCTTAAGAACTCCTCTTTAATGGTTCATCAGCTTAAGAACTCCTCTGTAATGGTTCATCGCTACATGGTAATGAGGTTGAATAAAAAAATGAAAGTTGTACTTATACACATATATGTTATTTCAGCAAAATCAACAAGTTTATTAAGGGAGAGAGGACAACAAATGTGTTGTGAATATACATTCAGGAAAAAAGTTCATCGTGTTTTGCCAGATTCCAGTAAGGCATCTCATGGGTGGACATAGAGAAACAGACAGAGCAGAGAGACAGGTAATAACACCACCATTTGGAACATTGGGTATTTGGATAGCACTTTGGTTTCTCCTAAACTACAGAATCAATAGGACTCAAATAGAGAGGAAGAAAAGATTCTCTTGTTGTTGAGTTGCTGTCTGCTGTCGAAATGCAGACATTTTGATTAGTAGTGTTTACTGGAATGATATTCTCTAGGGAGGCAGAAGTCGGGGGAATACTAGCTTTATTTCAATGCACTGTGGCTTCAGACCTGTGTTCCAGCAGCTTTGGGTTGTCTGTATAACTAGACAATTTTTTTTTAAAAGATGTATTTATTTATTTATGCATACAAGAACTAGAGTACAGGCCAGAGATGCAGGGGGTGAGAAGATTCACCAAAGACAGAATGGGGAGCAGAACAGGCAGACTGACTGAAATACACTGCTAAGGGGAGCAGTGGGCAAGATGGGGGGTGTCTACCACACCATGGATGTCACCTCCCTGGCCTGCGATTAAACTCCTGATGCAGTGGCTTCGGATAGCTTCATAGTGCTGTGCTTTAGCCCATTGCACCACCAGGGAGCGCCCAACCAGACCATTTTTGTAATCATATAGGAAACCTACGCAACATCAGTCTAACTCACTGTAGAAAACTCAATTCATAAAGTCCTCAGGGAAGGTGGGGAGGCCTTAGGACTTTTCCAGTACAGAGGGAAAGCCTAATATTGAACTGTGAGAAACTGAGGCAGTCTTTAAATTCTAACCTCATTCAGTCATTTATCAATCATTGATTCATTTGAGAATTCCTTGAGCACAGTGTGGGGGACTGCTATGTTCTGGGACAGTTCTGAGCATTGGAGAGATGAGGTGAACAAAACAGTCCTGAGACCAGACCTGGTGGGGCTTAGAATTCTCATGGGGATCTCCCCAGGAAGAATCAGGGTGTTCGCTTCACCAGGGAGTATTTACCTTACTCTGACTTTCACCAACTCTATCCTCTTCTTATTTCAACCACCCTTTTGCACGCTGGAGAGCAAGATGAATTAGGTGATTAATTTTACCTTTTGTACACAAGCGTAATTAACTTTACTTAATTGTTTGCACGGTTTTGCGTTCCAGATCAAAGCCTGCTCCTGTAATACCTCGGCCTCTTTTTCACTTGGTGCCCTTCCACTCAGCCTGTTTGTGGGATTGTGGTTCTTCGTACCTTCCTCCCTCCATTCCTGGGTGCTTTTAGTGGTCTCTTAAGTAATAAAATCCACTGAGAGATTTCTTTTTATCTCTTTTGACCTTCAACATGGATTTGGTAAGGGCTGTATTTTTGGCTTTGAAGTGACTGTCTTCAGGGTCCTGGACTCGTATTTCCTCCCTCTCCTGGTCAACTGCTTTCTTCTGAGGCT